GAACTTGTGAAGTGGTCTTAATCTTCCTGGGGACTGATGAAAGAGCAGCATGAAAAATGGGAGACAAGTTGTGTCTGAGGTGCCTCCACCTCTACTGAGGGAACACCGACTATACAAACATTTGCATTCTCTCCAAAGCTAGGTTTGCTACACACATTCGATGGCCTGGAAAAGAAATGGCAAATTAAAGAACTCATTACATTTTTATTTCTAGCAGCCAAATTGGTCATTGCTAAGCAACAGAAATGTCTAGACCAGAGTTTCTCAACCTTGACAGTTTGAAGATGTGTGGACTTTTAACTCTCAGAGTTTAACTCCCTCCCATGCTGGCTGGGGAATTCTGGGAGTTGAAGTCCACACATCTTCAAGCTGCCAAGGTTGAGAAACTCTGATCTGGATAGTATTTCACTGGATAGATGGGGTAAAATTTGGTCTATAGCTTTGCCTGAAAAAGATGAAATCCATTCTATGAAAGCCAAAGTAATAAATGAGAGCAATTAAAGGAAAAGGTATCGCCTAACATAATGGAGGAACATTCCCTTTTTATAGAAGAATTTTTAGCTGTTTGGGATCAGTGTGTCCAGGAATTATTTCTAAAATTGGGTCTAACAGAGGTGGTAGAAGAAAAGATGTCATTGCATAAAATAGAAGCTGAAGGTGACTTGAATAAGGATTCTAAAATGGACTTTAAAGAAATGCTAGACTATGAGAGAGACATGGAAGATATGGGAAAAGATGCTGGGGATCTGAAGATGGACTTAAAGTCACTTGATTATGAGAATGACATGGAGAAAGAAGCTGTAATGGATCAGAACAGTGAGTCTGAAAGCTATCCCACTTTGGACCCACAAAGGGAAACACTAAATCTCTAAAACCTTTTCTGAAAATAGACAGGAAGGGAATAAGTGATTATTACCTGGGATTTTATTTGGAGAAGAGATTGAAGATTGAGCCTTTTAAAAAGAAGAGAAAGGAATTTAAAGATGACTTATCGGATCAGGGTTAAATTTCTAAGTTTTGATCCTGCGTTAATATTGAATTTTCTTTTTCTGACCAGGACTGTAAGATGCTGATTTACTGTATACCTGTAAAAACGATTTATTTGGTTTCATTTAAAATATACATGTTATTATTATTGGCCTTTCTTATGCTTATGGGGACAGATCTTTTATGTTTTATTTCTCAGAAAAATTTTTAGAAGTTAAAATACAAAATAGATTTATGTGTCCAAGCTTCAGATATATAGTTTATTATCATTGGTACTCTTAATGCTTTTGCTGGTTAGACTGATGAATTTTTAATAATTTGGTTATTATTTAGGGATGAGAAATAGGATGAAGAGGGCTTTTCTCTGTAATATTAGAGAAAGTGTTAGTTACTGTTAATGCATATATTTGTTTGAAGGGAGGGGAGGTCACTTTTTATATTTCTTTCTCCTCTTTTCTTCTTGTTCTTTTTGTTTGTAGTTTATTTTCATTCTGCATTAGCTTTTATATATGTAAAACTTTAATAAAAATATTATTTAAAAATGGTTTATTCAATAAGCAGGCTATGGGCTTGATGTGACTGGGGGCAATGTGGTTTATTCTTAACCCATTTTGGCAAGCCAGTTTGAGCTAATGGTTAAGAGTGTTAAAGTTGGCCAGAGAAATCCAGCTCTGAATTTGTTCAACAGCAAAGCGACTTGATGGCCTTGGCTTAGCTATTCCAATAACTATTTCACCTGTATCTTCTGAATATTCAACAAGATGGTGGTGAGACTGTAAACTAGTAGGGAACATTGAGAACTTAAGCATTGTCCTGCTGGAGCTGACTCCTGTTCCATCTAGTCCAGCAGTCTCTTCTCACAGTGGCCCAAGGAAGCCCACTGGTTTCCCAGCAGATGGTCTTCACAGGCAGTCCTGCTGCTATCAAGGCTAATAGCCCTTGGTGGAAATGAAATATCAGATTTTTGGGAAAAGGTGTTGAATGAAATGTCATGTATAACTATATACAATGTTCCTCAACCTTAGCAACTTTAAGATATGTGGACTTCAACTCCCAGAATTCCAGGCTGGCTGGGGGAATTCTGGAAGTTGAAGTCCACTTGTCTTAAAGTTGCTAAGGTTGAGGAACACCAACTATACAAACATTTGAATTCTCTCCAAAGCTAGGTTTGCTACACACATTCGATGGCCAGAAAAAGAAATGGCAAATTAAAGAACTCATTACATTTTTATTTCTAGCAGCCAAATTGGTCATTGCTAAACAACAGAAATGTCTAGACCAGTTTCTCAACCTTGGCAGCTTGAAGACGTGTGGACTTCCATGCTGGCTAGGGAATTCTGGGAGTTGAAGTCCACACATCTTCAAGCTGCTAAGGCTGCGAAACTCTGATCTAGATAGTATCTTACTGGATAGATGGGATGAAATTTGGTCTATAGCTTTACCCGAAAAAAATGAAATCCATTCTATGACAAGCCACAGTAATAAATGGTGGGATTTCCTTGCAATTGCTTGTATCAAAAATTATGGGCACGTTAAAAGATATCAATAGTATGAAAATGTTTATAAATTCAGTAATTTACAAACATATGTAAATGTTTATAAATTCAGTAATTTAAAAACGAAGTTCTCCTAACCTCAGATATGGAAGCTGGACTCGCATTTGGACAGTTTGTCTTAGCACGGCCTGTCAATTAAGCCATAGTTGATTGAGGTCAAGCACTAGAGTTAATTAAAACCATGGTCTATAAACTGCAAGGTGCACGTAACTGCTTGGCACAGTGCATGAATTAGGCCATTGCACCAGGTGGCCACATTTTTAATTATTTGGACTGAAGTTATATATAGAGGGAAACTTTTATTATGGCCAAGCATTTATGGATTGGAGTTTGCTTTCTTCAGCTAAATACTTCATCTAGAAGAGGAACCTAGAACACATGGCTCCTGTTCTTGGTGCCAACCATCCAGCAACCTTCTCCAGCTAACTGTATTTCTCTCCCGTTTTCTTAGCAGCCCCAACTTGCCGTTCTTTGGCTGCGCAATGGGCACACTCTACATTCAATCATTTCTCAAGGCTGTTTGGACAGCATAAATATTGGCACTGTATACAAATAAGCCTATTTTGCAAGTCAAAGACCATTTTAGCTGGGAATGATGGGAACTGAAATCCAGCCTGCCTGGAAGGCACCCAATGAGGGCTACTGCATAAAGTCCACATTTGTTTGTACCAGATGGCTGGGTACAGGGAATTTAAAAAAAAAATGTTTTTGGGTTTAATGTTATTGCAGATGCTTCTGCCCTGTCTTGAGGGGTGTTTGAGAACATTCCACATCCCCACAATTGAAAGAGGGTCTCAGTTATACATCAACCTCTCTGAAAGTATGGTTTGCCCAAGAAGCTCAACATGGAGACAAGCTCACACACTCAAAGTTGTCCAAAAACTGCTTTTTAATAAGAGCTCCTTAAATTAAGTCTAGTATCACAACCAGCAGTCTTAGGAACCTGGCTTTACTTTCAATACCAACCCTCACCCCTTAGTACCAGACAAACGGTGAACAATGTCCCCCTCCCCTCCCCTTCCTCTCTTCCCAAACAACGAAAGGTTTGTTTTAAAGACCTTCTGACAGATCAGCTCTAGGTGCTACTACTACTACGGGGATCCATGTATGTTTATCACCCACAACACAATGGGGCCTATGTCAAACACCAAAATGAATCGGATACACTTCTGGTGATGGTCCAAATGTAATGACCAAGCTGCCTCGGCCATCTCCTGCCCCCGCCCCCCAGTCTACTTCTCAAGTCCATCAGAAGCTAACGTTGCTTTTAGCCCGTTGTGCTGGAGGAGCATGGTGTCCTGGCCCTGGGCCTGGTCTTCTCCAAGCTGGCAAGCAGCCGCCGCCTAAAGAATCTCCCGCTGTATTTGAGTCCGGTCAGGTGTCTCAAAGTCGGGGGCATTTGTTCCTGGGTGATGTCCACATAAACCGGGATGACTTTCGCCCCCTTCTGGTGTACGGAATGGACAAGGTTCCACTCCAAGATGCGCTGGCACCAAGGGTCAGTCACTGAATGGGGGGTCAAGAGGATGATGGCAAACCGACTGCTTTGAATGATCTCGTTCACGGAGGCCAAAACTGGCTCCCCAGCCACGTGGTCCTGATGCTCAACGTAGCCATGGAAGCCTTGCTCAGCCAGCATCTCACTGATGGCAGTGGCAATGGGATCGTCATCCAGGCAATACCAGAGGGAGAAATCATATTGGAATGAAGGAGATGTCATGGCGTAAAACTAGAGCAACTGCCCTTGGGGGCAAGTGGTGATTTTCTCACCCCCCACCCCCACCCACAAAGTCCACTTGTCCCAGCCTATCTCAGTATGTGAACTCTGCGGAAACTACCCGTTGACTTTCCCCAAAGAGAGGTGTTTTGTTCTAAACGTCTGTATGAAGAAAACGGAACAAGGACCAATGGAGCTCTGCAGAACTAAGAGCAACAGTGAATTGGGGGCCAAAAAAATAAAAATAAGGCTAACTGCACAACCGGGCATCTCAGAGTGAGCACAGCGAAGAGATTCGGGCCCTCAGGAGGCTTGTAGCGGGCAACTGGTTTTTTGACACACATTCACAGAACCTAAAACACAGACGGTGTTTAAGATGTGTAGCGTAGGCATGCTGAAATCACATCACAATCGCAAGTCTTTAGTTCAAGCGTGGCACGATCCTGCAGGGGACGTGGGTCAACTTTGCTGTGGTCACTTCCAAAAACGTATCTCACAAAGCCCTTTGCTTCATCTCTAAGATGCCCTGCTCCAGAGTTGCCCCAGCCAGTTTCAGCTCTTCACACTTCTCCTTGAGCAAACTGCAGGCCTTCTGGAGGCGGTGGTTCATCTCCACGTAGGACTGGGTCAGCCGGTAGAGGCGTTCCCTCTTGGCCTCTGGATCTTCATTCTTCGTTGGAATGGGCAAATCTGAATTCAGGCAAAATGGGAACCGGGGTTGGGGAGGGGTGGGGAGAGAGACAGAGATAAAGTATGCTACCTTTGCAGAGCGCCTATGCAGCTTAGCAACAAAACACTGCTAACCTAGATAGTCCTAGTTTCCATGCAATAAATTCTAGGCTCAGCTAGAATAGACCCCAGGCAGATGTTCTGGAGGATGGTTATCCCTCAAAAGAAATTTATTTGATCTCCCACTGGATTCAGTCGAAGACAACTTCCTGTATTTCTGTTAAAATCTGATCTTAATTCAAAACGATGAAAATTCATATTTCTTCTATAATGGAAAAATACATCACTTTCAAGCAAAATGTCCTAGGATCAATCCAGCAGTTTTAATTGGGCTGGAAATCACAGGCTGCCTGTGTACTGGGTAAGGCAGTCTGGTACTAAGGCCACTTTGACACTATACGCATGGTTTATTTACTCAGGGTTTGTTTAAAGCAGTGTTTCTAAGATGTGTGACTGCAATTAACACCAAGCTGCTTGGTTCACATATCAGGCTAAGTGATAAAGTTGTTTAATAGGTCTGGCTCCTTATTTTGTGTGAGCCAGCCATTCTCATTCACTAACCAGGCTTTGTGGCTTAGAATCGTGCGTAAACTCAAAGAATGTTTCTAATATGGGGCGGGGGAGGGGGGCAACCTGCAGCCTGGATGCAGTTTCCTGGCACCCATAGAGGAGCACAGCCAAAACTTTCACCAGTGTTTCCATTCTGTGGGGTTGAAGGGGATTTTGGAACCCCAACACCCCTCCCCCAAACTGGTAGATATTTTTTGGGGGGGTGATAGTTTAACAGGTAAAATGCACAAGGAGGGGAAGACACCAGGTGGAGAAAACTTCCCTATGAAGTGTGCACAGAAGTCAGAGAGACAAGGAAGTAGACTTTTAGCAACACTGGTACATTTTTAAAGAACTTTAAAATTTTTATAAACATAAATTTATAGGCCATTACCCACCATCCTTCCTTTATTTTACACTACTCTCTCATTACTACATCACAGGAAGTCGGGTAGCACCTTTTCCGACTAACCAATTTTATTAAAAGCATAAGATTTGTGAGCTCACAAAAGCTTATGCCTTTTAATAAAATTGGTTAATTGGAAAAGATGCAACCAGATTCCTCCTGATTTTCTGTTATCATAGACTAACACAGCTACCTTCCTACAATGTCATTATGTTTGTGAGTGCTTGTGTGTATGGGTGTGCGTGTGTGTGCGTGTGTGTTTAGGCATACCCTGTTCAATTTTTTTAGAAAACTGCATATATAATTGCAGCTTTATGTTGCAACTGTAGATATGCTTACTTTTGAATAAACTCTCTTATATTAATTCCAAGTAACTATGTGGATCCTGGAGAAAGTCTATCTATGTGGTCGCTAAGAGCTAACACAGACTTGATAGCATATAATTAATCAATCATATGGAAGATTGCATATGTAGTACAGATCACAGCTTTGCAGCCCCCACTTGGAAATGATCTGCTCACCCATATCAATACACAACCATGGTCTGTGATCACCCATTCAGGAGCACGGGGACAGAAATATGTCAGAACTGCACTGGATAGGCAACTGGGGGGAGATAGGATAAGTGGGGAGATTGCATTATTTTGACTTCCCGCAGTGGCGCCAACATATATTTATGCAGTGATATATGGGACTGACCTTGGGAGACAGGGGGAAGAGCTGCAGGCTAGACAACAGTCAGACAAGCGGCAGCTGAGCCCGCAGAAGGAATGTGGGCATGGCAAACGTCTCAGAAGGGACCCTCCCTAGTTTCCTGGACTGTAAAGGTGAGGGGGGAGAGATGTCCTTTCAGACTTGCAAGATTCTGTTCATGTAACCTTGCAATAAAGTTAGAGCTAGTGTTTATGGGTGTGCTTCTTGTTTGGACTACCTCACACAGCTGACATCAATCTTGCAACCTCCCCCCCCCTCACCTTTACAGTCCAAGAAACTAGGGAGGGTCCCTTCTGAGACGCTTGCCACGCCCCCATTCCTTCTGCGGGCTCAGCTGCCGCCTGTCTGACCGTTGTCTGGTCTGCGGCTTCTCCCCCAGTCTCCCAAGGTCATTCCCACATACCGTTACAATTTACTTTTCAGTGACAGATGGAAGCCTCGGGCCTTTTACTTTACATTCAGGACACTGTCTGCAACTTGGCATGTTTATCCTCTACATGCCTTTTCATCCATGTCAAGCTTTAACTCTGGTATAGATTCTCATCTGCCATGAGATCTTCCAGATAGTTATATATGGATCGTCTGTTTGCTATTTCAAATAAAGCAAATCTGGGGTAACCCAGTTTCCTGCCTGCATTTACTTTGCAACTCAAAATGCAGAGGACAAAATACGGGCCAGATCTTCATACCTTCATTGGGCTCCACCAGGAGGACAAAAACGGGGTCATTGGGCTGGGCACGCTGGACATCTTCAAGAATCTGTTCTGCGTTGGGGGGCTCAGGGCGTGTGGGTAGAACCACCCGCTTCTTGGCCTTTGAGGTCATTGCTTGGAAACAGGTGCCAGAGGGCACTGGAACGAAAGAAGAGTTGCAGAGAGAAACAGGAGGGTTGGATATTTGTTCTGATAAGCTTGGATAGAAATGCACTGGTGCAACTGTATGTGAACAGGAACTCCAACATTAAATTGCAGAGTGGTTCAAGCTCAAGAAACTGTTTGGTCAGGGGTTTTTATTCCTCCATATGAACTTGAAGCCTAGCCTGAATGAGATTTGATTTTTTAAAAATAAACCTTCATCTTCAAAAGCCCTAAGGAGCAGTCAAAAGCCAGTTTGATACAGTGGTTAAGGCATCAGGCTAGAAAGCAGGAGGCTGTGAGTTCTAGTCCTGCCTTAGGCATGAAGCCAGCTGGGGGACTTTGGGCCAGTCCCTCTCTCTCAACCCTAGTAAGAAGCAGGCGAGGGCAAACTACTTCCAAAAATGTTCTCCATTTAGCCATCAGAAGTCAAGTCTGACTTGAAGGTGTGCACACACACCCATAAAAAGAGCAGGTATTTTGAGTTTGATGAAAACACCACCCGATGCACCCACTGATCAAATCACTCCCCGATCCACCCAAAATGCCATCAATGGAAAGAATAAATATCCTAAATGAGTCAGGACAGTCCAAAATATTCTCTGTACAGGTGTGGGGTAAGGAAGGTATAGATCCAACTCAAGAAGAGTTAGCTTTTGAAATTTGCCTTTATAATGTGCTTGTCTTGCAGCAAAAGTTAGACATCTGAACAAAAAATGCAACTTCCTGTATTTCTGTTAAAATCTGATCTTAATTCAAAAC